CACATTCTGAATCTTTCGGAATGACGTAAGGTCGGTATCCACCGTTCACGTTATTAGGAATAACTCTTCATCAAGGATCTTATAAGAATCAGAAAGTACCAACAACATTGATAACATAAGAATAAGAGAAGTAACATTAACATCAGTCGTTCCATAAGAAGGGAAACAATGTAAGTACTGCTAGCTTCTAAGAGTGGAATATCTTTGGAAGCTCGTTCATTACATTATGTACAATCGAAGTCGTGCAAAAGAAGGAAAGGATAGCCTCACATAACTTGTATATACTGCCCAACCTCAAGCTATGCAAGTGTCACGACTCCTTAGTCTACAATAAGAGAAATTATACTATCGTTATCATTTAAGCGTCGTAACTATTATACATCGACCGCAACCTATTTTACAATGAAACAGAACCTTCCCTATTTATATGACTTCCCACAAGTTAAAACAATCATGAAACAACCCAAACAACATCAATAATAATCATATTAAGCCTCCCAAAATAGTCCACCGACCAACAACATTACTAACAAGCCTTTCGATAGATAACTCACAAGTTCTAGCTTCAACTTGGATAATATTATATACATGTAGAGTAAGAGGTTACTTACCTTTAAACATATATAACAACTCCAATTTTACCTTAATTCACCATGAAATATCCTTCCAATGCTGCCACAAGAACAAGGAAGCAAAACTAGCAATCAATTCGGGGGTTTCGGCACTAGAATCACTTTGGAAGACTTGAAATCACCTAGGGTTGATATTAAAAACTTGAGAGAGTATTTAACAGAACTTAAACCACTTAAAACAACCCCCCACACGAGCTGGAACCACACAAAAATCAGCAACAACAAGAAGAACAAGAAACTCACTAGCGCCACAGGATTCTCGATACCTGATTTATGTTGTTTGCCCCTTGTTTGGGTCTTGGATCATTAGAGAACCTTGAGAGAGAGTTTTTAGATGTCTAGGGTCTGAAGAGAGTGAAATAATGAGTTAAAATGGGGTTAAGTCGTCTCATATATATCAATATATCTCAACCGCCTATGTGGGCCCCATAGAGAGCTGCTTGCGTAGTCTCGAGAAAATGTGAATATATCTCTACTACTACATCGTATCGATAAACGGTTTAATGCGTTGGAAACGAGACTCATATATATTCAATTTGGTGGGTAGATCACCCCGTAATTCTAAGCAAATTGGGAGAAAAGCTTAGTAATATTTGATCTAAAGTTGAAGTAAAATTATGAACGTAAGTTGTGACAACTTTGGTCGACTTTTGTTTCATAACTCGTTTGAATTCAAGACTTTTTATACGGATATTATATGATTCAAATATCTTAAAACACGTCCTCTTGATAATATTAAGCACCTCTCATTTTACTCGAAAATACGGGTTACAACATCCTTGATTCATTTAACTTTTAGTACTTGTTAACCACTCTTATACACCCTTGTATCATTTAAGACAAATAGGATTAACTTCTTATCATCTCAAAGATAATATCTTCTCGGATTTACGCCGACTAAATTACGGCGTGATCTAATGTACGCAAATATGGGTTGTTACACATGTAATATTTTGAAAATCGTAAATGAAGTTTTTATAAGTAATGAAATTTGTGTTGGACATGTTATTCTATCGCTTGTCTAACTCTTGGTATTCATCCTCACATTATTCAAGGGTAAGGTTGGATAGAACGCATCAAGTAGGCTTGCTTGAATGGGATATCTCGGTTGAGCACATGTCGCGCTCCCTAAGGTCGGGGCGTGACACTAGGGTTGAGTGGAGAGGTTCCTTAGATTATGTTCCTAGTAGGGTGATTTCATATTTTGCCTTTGTGATGGATGTTAGTACTGGTACTCCTACTGTTGACTCATTTTTGTTAGTGAGGGATTTCCCAGATGTATTTCTTGTAAACTTACCGGGTATGCCACCCAATAGGGATAATGATTTTAGTATTGACTTGGTGCCGAGCACTTTGACATCTCTATTCCCTCCGTATCATATGGCACCGGTGAAGTTGAAAGAGTTGAAGGAACAACTTCAGAAGTTGCTTGATAAGGGCTTCATCAGACCTATTATGTCGCCTTGGGGTGTACCAATTCTATTTGTAAAGAAAAAGAATAGTACTATGGGGATGTGTATTGACTACATGTAGCTGAACAAGGTTACTATTAAGAACAAGTACTCACTATCGCACATTGATGACATATTTGATCAGCTTCAGGGTGCTAGAGTGTTCTCGAAGATCAATTTGAGATCGGGGTATCATCAGTTGATGATCCGGGATGGTCACTATGCATTTCTGTTGATGTCTTTTGGGTGACCAATGCCCCAGCAACCTTTATGTACTTGATGAATAGTGTGTTCCAGCCATATCTTGATCCATTCGTCATAGTTTTCATTGATGATATATTAGTGTATTTGTATACGGTTAAAATCAGGGAAAGGCAATTTTAAGGCTTCGATGGTGTTTTCAAGCCCGGCCTCGGTAGGATCGAAGCACAGTTCTAGGCTTGTCCTCGAAGCACTCTCTTCAACAGGGCAAATCGAAGACTCATCGAGACGTACCTCGAGGTGGCATGAAAATCGGCGATCATCATAAAGGGGCAGGAGGCTCCCGATAGCACGTGACGAGGACTGACAGAGTCTGCAAAAATAGTACAAATCCATATTGAGCCGTTGCACAACTGTACTAGAAGCATTTATCCTTTATTTATTAGACATGTGCTATATTGGGATTCACCCCTCTTATATAAGGGGGACCCTTTGTCATTTTGTAAGGCACCTTGATATTGAATATAACGCAACATTCTCTGCTCTCTTTGCTAATACGATTGTCCTACATATTCATTGCTTATTTACATTGTTCATTCATTGTTCTTCATTTATTGCTCATTATTAATCATAAAAGGCCGTCTTTAAGGCCCTCATTACCATTGATTCTTTGCCAATAGTTCATCATTATTAACTTCATTTAGACCACGAGGTCCTGCTTCAGCTAGCTCGAGGCCCAGCCTTGTGACCCCATCGGTTTGCATATCTTACTCTCTTTACTTATACCTAGCATCTATTGCTTAACAACTAGTATTAAAATAAATCACGTATTTTTAGAACCACAAAATCAAATATAATTGTAGTTACCATTGTCAAGGTAAACACTATTCACGCAGCTAGGAGGATCATGAGAAACATATGAGGACCATGCTTTAGACTTTGAGGGAGAAGAAACTATATGCTAAATTCTCCAAGTGTGAGTTTTGGCTTGATTTGCTGTCAGTTCCGGGGAACGTAGTGTCCAGTGAGGGGATTAAGGTAGATTCGAAAAAGATTGAGGCAGTTCAGAGTTGGCCTAGACCGTCTTCTGCTACTGAGATCCAGAGTTTCCTTGGTTTGGATGGTTATTGTCAATGTTTTGTGGAGGGTTTCTCGTCCATTGCTGCACCTTTGATTAGATTGACCCAGAAGGGTGCCCCATATAGGTGGTCTAAGAAGTGTGAGAAGAGCTATCAGAAGATCACGACTGCCTTGACTACAACTCCAGTTCAAGTTTGCCTTCGGGATCGGGTTCTTATATAGTTTATTGTAATGCTTCACGAATTGGAATTGGAATTGGTTTTCTGAAAACACAAGTTATTCTTCACACTTTTTCTTGTCCAAGAACCTTTGATTTCAGGTCAAAATTTCCGACTCAGCAAACGCATGCAAAAACAACGGTATTGGTCTTCAGGGAGAAAGCGGTGCAGACGCCGGTACACCGCCGCAAAATTCAGGGGTAGCACCAGCAGATGCTGGTGTACCACCGCAAAACCCAGGGGAGGCACCACCACAAGTTGCCATCTACGTGAGCTCGCTCAACGCCGTACATATCGACGTAAACTCTCATACCAACGGAAGTATGCGCGGGGAAGAAAGAGACGTTAGTCTTCAAGTCATTTTCGAGATGTTGCAAGCGCAACAAGTCGCCATTGCTCAGCTACAAAGCCAACAAAAAACTCCAAGCACAACAACACTGGAAACGGCTCCTCGAATTGAGCAGGCACCAGAAAGATTGAGTAATAGCGGGTCAGCAACAGACCCCGCTATTATGAAGATGCTCGAGGACCTTACCAAGAGGATTTAATCAGGAGAAAAGAAGATAGAGGATAATAACAAAAAGGTGGAGACTTATAACTCAAGGGTCGATCAGATCCCGGGCGCACCTCTGACTCTGAAGGGTGTAGACTCAAAGAAGTTCGTACAAAAACCATTCCCATCAAGTGCGGCTCCGAAGCCCATCCCAAAGAAATTCAGAATGCCCGATGTCCCGAAGTATAACGGGACCATAGACCCTAATGAGCACGTCACCGCTTATACTTGCGTTGTAAAAAGGAACAACTTAAAGAACGACGAGATTGAATCCGTCCTGCTGAAGAAATTTGGAGAGACACTGCCGAAGGGGGCCATGATGTGGTATCACAACCTACCCCCGAACTCGATAGATTCGTTTACCATGTTGGCAGACTCTTTTGTGAGGGCACACGCCGGTGCCATCAAGGTCGCCACCAGGAAGTCCGATGTTTTCAAAATCAAACAAAGGGAAAACGAGATGCTAAGGGAATTCATATCTCGCTTTCAGATGGAGCGAATGGAATTACCACCAGTATCCGATGACTGCGCAGTGCAGGCCTTCACTTAGGGCTTGAATGAGCGAAGCTCGATAGCTTCGAAGCAGCTAAAGCAGAACTTGGTTGAGTATCCCGCCGTAACTTGGGCGGATGTACACAACAGATATCAATCAACGATCAGGGTCGAGGACGACCAATTGGGAGCCCCCTCTGGCTCAATATATCCATGTAGGCTCCTAGCAAAGGAACCAAAGTCCACAGAATGGGAGTCGAGATCTGGCAAAGAAAGGTATTAGCCATACTCCAAAGATCTAAGAGACACATCGAGGCATAATATACCTCGAAATCATCGAGAAGTAGATCGAGGCCAAAATTCCCGGGGACTTATGAGCAAGGCCGGATTTGACAGGCATTCGAGGCCAATGGAGGCACCCCGATTGTCGGAATACAACTTTAACATCGATATCTCGGACATCGTATCAGCCATGGGTAGAATCAGGGATACCAGATGGCCAAAGCCCGTGGAGTCAGATCATTCTCGAAGGAACCCCAACTTGATGTGCGAATATCATGGAATTCATGGTCATAGGATCGAGGATTGTAGACAGCTCCGAGAGGAGGTGGCCCGGCTGATTAACGAAGGGCACCTTCGAGAATTCCTCAGCTATCGAGCCAAGGACCGCTTTCTAGAAAGAGAGGCGAACGGAAAGAATGGACTAGAAGAACCTCAACACATCATTCACATGATCGTTGGAGGAACCGACGTCCCACAGGGACCCATGTTCAAACGGGCCAAAGTGCCCATCGCAACGGAAAGGCAAACTCGGAATTACATACTTGAGGATGCCCTTGCATTTAGAGAAGAAGACATCGAGCCCTTGTCCCTACCACATAATGATGCACTGGTAATTTCTTTTCTTTTGAATAATGTCCAAATTAAGCGTGTGCTCGTGGATCCAGGTAGCTCGGCCAACATAATTAGGTCGAATGTGATGGAGCAGCTCGGACTGCTCGATCAGATCATACCAATCTCTCTAGTTCTCAATGGATTCAACCTGGCAAGTGAGACAAAGAAAGGAGAAATCATCCTCCCAGTCAACATGTCCGATACAGTACAAGACACCAAGTTTCATGTCATCGAAGGTGACATAAGGTACAATGCCTTACTCGGAAGATCGTGGATTCACAACATGAGGGCGGTAGCATCAACTCTTCATCAGATGATGAAGTTCCCAACAAAAGATGGTATAAAAATAGTGCACGGAGAACAACATGCAGCTAAGGAGATGTTCGCGGTAAACGACATGGAACCAACATCGACTCTCCCCGTTCAGGACGAGTCAGGGAACAGGTTTCCCCCCGAGGAATAGGTGGTCTGTGAGCATTCAAATGAAAATGACGAAGAAGACTTCCTCACCCCTGGACCTTCGTTGCCCCCGAAGAGTCGGATGCAATAAAATCAACGGTTGAAGAACTCGAGCAAGTCGTCCTGATCGAGCAACTTCCAGATCGAAAGGTATACTTGGGTTACCCCCAAACACAGGAAAAAACTCATTCAATTTCTTATTAACAACATTGGTTGCTTCGCTTGGTCCCATTTAGACATGACAGGGATCCCACCGGAAATAACCACCCATCGACTAAGTATCGATCCTAGGTTCAAACCAGTGAAGCACAAGAGGAGGCCTCAATCCGAGGTAAAACATGCGTTCATCAAAGACGAGGTAACAAAACTCCTCAAAATAGGATCAATTAGGGAGGTAAAATACCCTGAATGGTTGGCTAATGTGGTAGTGGTTCCCAAAAAAGGAAATAAATTAAGAATGTGCGTAGATTATAAAGACTTGAATAAAGCATGCCCCAAAGAATCATTCCCATTGCCCAACATCGATCGCTTGATCGATGCCACGGTCGGCCATGAGATCCTCACTTTTCTCAACGCCTACTCCGGGTATAATCAAATTCAAATGAACCTGGAGGACAGGGAAAAAACTTCGTTCATCACGAAGTATGGTACATACTGTTATAATTTTATGCCGTTCGGGCTAAATATGCAGGAGCAACATACCAACAGCTAGTTAATAAGATGTTCGAACATCAAATAGGCCAGTCTATGGAAGTTTACATTGGTGACATGCTAGTTAAGTTCCTGCGCAGAGGACAATTTGACGCATTTGCAGGAAACATTAGATATCCTTAGAAGCTACAACATGAAGCTCAATCCTGAAAAATGTGCCTTCCGAGTAGGATCGGGCAAATTTTTAGGCTTCATGATGTCAAATAGGGGGATTGAGATCAACCCCGATAAAATCAAGGCCATTGAAGAAATCATAGTTGTGAACAATGTGAAGGCCGTACAGCGGCTGACCGGGCAGATAGCGGTGTTAGGCCGATTCATCTCGAGATCATCAGATCGGAGTCATCATTTCTTCTCCCTACTCAAGAAGAAAAACAGCTTTGAGTGGGCTCCGAAATGCCAACACGCCTTAGAGGAATTAAAGCGGTATCTCTCGATCCCGCCTTTGCTCCACACCCCGAAGGAAGACGAAACATTGTACTTGTATCTGGCCGTATCGGAGGTAGCGGTAAGTGGTGTATTGGTTCGGGAAGAACAAGGTACGCAATTCCCTTTTTATTACGTGAGTCGGACTCTTGGAGATGCTGAAACCAGGTATACACACTTAGAAAAATTAGCTCTTGCATTAATAAGTGCATCTCGAAAATTAAAACCTTATTTTCAATGCCATCGTATATGTGTTTTAACAACATACGCTCTTAGAAACATCTTGCACAAACTTGAATTATCGGGCAGATTGGCCAAATGGGCCATCGAGCTTGGAGGGTATGATATCGAGTACCAACCCCGGACGGCTATCAAGTCCCAAATTTTGGTGGACTTCATGGCCGACTTTACTCCTGCCCTAGTGCCCGAGGTAGAGAAAGAACTCTTTTTAAAAACGGGCACGTCATCAGGGGTATGGACCCTATTCACCGACGGTGCCTCGAACGTGAAAGGATCTAGGCCGGCATCGTTCTGAAACCGCCTACGGGCGGCATGACTAGGAAATCTATAAAATCTTCGAAATTAACTAACAACGAGGCCGAGTATGAGGCTATGGTTGCAGGTCTCAAGCTGGCCAAGAGCCTAGGAGCAGAAGTCGTCAAAGCAAAATGCGACTCCCTTCTGGTAGTCAACCAAGTAAATGGGAGCTTCGAGGTTCGAGAAGACAAGATGCAAAGATACTTAGACAAACTTCAAGTCACATTGCATCGCTTTAAAGAATTGACTCTGGTCTACATTCCTCAAGATCAGAACAGCGAGGTCGATGCACTCGCGAACCCGGGGTCATCCGTAAAAAAAGATGACATACTCCCGGGGGCCGTTGTACAGTTGTCCAAGTCGGTGATTGAAGAAGGCCACGCCGAGATCAACTCAACAAGTCTAACATGGGATTGGAGGAATAAATACATCGACTATTTGAGGAACGGGAAGCTGCCCACAGACCCAAAATAATCGAGGGCGCTCCGAGCTAAAGCAGCTCGATTTTCACTCGACGATAATGGAACACTATATAGAAAGACCTTCGATGGACCTCTAGCAGTATGCTTGGGACCGGGGACACCGATTATGTACTTCGGTAAATCCACGAGGGCACTTGTGGAAATCATTTTGGCATCGATTCTCTGGTTCGAATGGTGATCAGAGCAGGTTACTATTGGGATAGCATGGAGAAGGACACCAAGGAATTCGTTCGAAGGTGTGACAAATGCCAAAGGTTTGCACCAACCCGGTGAACAACTACATTCAGTCTTATCGCCATGGCCGTTCATGAAATGGGGGATAAACATCGTTGATCCCTACCAACGGCGCCAGGTAAAGCTAGATTTATTCTGTTTATGACTGACTATTTCTCGAAATGGGTGGAAGCACAGGCCTTCGAGAAGATAAGGAAAAAAGAAGTCATTGACTTCATCTGGGACCACATCATATGCCGATTCGGGATCCCCTCCGAGATTATGTGTGATAATGGGAAACAATTCATAGGCAACAAGGTGACAAAATTCCTAGAAGATCATAAAATCAAGAGATCCTATCAACGCCCTATCACCCATGTGCAAATGGACATGCCGAGTCCACAAACAAGACCATCATCCAAAACTTAAAAAAGAGGTTAGAAAATGCGAAGGGAAAATGGAGAGAGGTATTGCGCGAAGTACTATGGGCATACCGAACAACTTCAAAGTCAAGCACCGGAGAGACACTGTTCTCTTTAGTATACGGGGCCGAGGCTTTGATAGCGGTCGAGGTCGGAGAACCAAGCTCCAGATTTTGACATGCCACCAAGGATTCGAACAGCGAGGCCATGACTACAGCCCTCGAACTACTAGATGAAAAGCAAGAGACTGCACTAGTTTGAATGGCCGCCCAAAAGTAGAGGATCGATAGATATTACAATAGGAGAACAAACCTCCGATACTTCGGGGTCGGGGACTTACTCCTAAGGAAAGTCACCCTCAACACTCGAAACCAAAATGAAGGGAAATTAGGCCCGATCTAGGAAGGACCGTACCGCCTCCTCGGAGTAGTGGGCAAAGGGTCCTACAAACTCGGCACCATGGAAGGCGAGCAACTTCCAAGCAATTGGAACATATCGATGCTCAAACGCTATTATTGCTAATGTATAACCCTCTCCCTTTTCATTTATGTTTTATACTAACTTATTGCAGGTGTTCGATTGAGAGGAATCGAAACACCCTCCATCTCGAAGACCTTGGGTTTTAAAGCATGCATTGCACTTTTTTCCCCTTAGATCGGGTTTTATCCCGAATGGGTTTTACCTGCAAGGTTTTTAATGAGGCAACATCCATATGCTACCTAAGGAGAACTCATCAAGTATTCAAGGCTTCTCTTCGATCAACCTCAAATACTGGGGGGCATCACCCCAGGAGGTCACCTCTCTGAAGAAATGAAAACTATGCCTAGGAGGACCTCGACAGGAGAATGTTGTATTGAGCCAAACGGTCAAATGAACTGTGTCCATATAGAATAATCGAGCCTCCAAAAGCAAAAAACATGTACGCATATATCAAGTAATCGAGGAAGCCTCTTTGCTTATCAAAACACTTTGCACTTCGAAGAAGTTTACTACTATCGCGCAAAACGGCCCAAGAGCCAAAAAAACTCCCGAACACTCGGGGACTGTCTTCGACAGTCAGCTTACCGAGTTGTCAAAACTCGAAATCGTAAGACCTTGATCAGGCAACCTCGAACTCATAAGCCCTCCTGAGGCAACATCAAATCTGTAAGTCCTCAACAAGGCATGATAAAATCCATAAGACCTTAAAAAAAGGCATAATCTCGATATTAAGGCCAGGGCTACATATCCGAAGGTTTCGAAAACTCAACCTTCGAGCAAGCCTTCGAGAAAGCCTTCAAAGGTACTCTACTATCGTCACATATCGACTCATAATCGAGGTTCTCATCTGAGCCGTTGAAGAGTCGGACGAACATAAAATATGCCAAGGCATAATCAGAACTTCAAACGTCTTTAGCCAAAATGAGGGACAACTATAGCCATATTAGAGGTCGCATCGACCCGATCTGAAAAGATCCTAAAGGCCAATGCGTAAGAGCCCAAGGGCCAGCCTAAAGAGCCTAAGGGCCAATACGTAAGAGCCCAAGGGCCAGCCTAAAAAGCCTAAGGGCCAATGCGTAATAGCCCAAGGGCCAGCCTAAAGAGCCTAAGGGCCAATGCGTAAGAGCCCAAGGGCCAGCTCAAAGAGCCTAAGGGCCGATCCTAAAGGGGGCAGTATGTTAAAAACCCAAGGGGTTTATATTATAAGTCGAATCGGCATCAAACTAGACAAAGGGGAGACAAGAAAGGACGAAAAGCAAAGATCTTTATGTATATAAAATAAAAGACCACAAAGATATATTTGCAAGGCTAGTGTCTAAAACCCTCATACAAAAAAGAACGAATAAAAAACCTAATCTACCACCGGGGTCACTCGATCGGTCGGAGCTCCCTCAGAAGATACGCCTTCAATGGCTTGGTCCTCGACCCTCGGAGCATTAACGGCCTCTTCCCCCTCGGGGACTTTGCCTTCATCTTCATCATCCCTCGAGCCGCTGGACGAGCCACTAGCTGAACCATCATCGGAAGAATGCAGGGCTACCGATTCCTCCTCTAGGGCCTTCACCCTCTCTATCTCGACCGATAAATTGATGCCCCTTGCGTACACATCCTCGAGAGCCTGTCTCCGAGATTTCAATCGGGCATGCTCCAAGGCTCGGGTCTATCTGAGCTAGGCCTCTTCAGACACTCTCCTGGCCCGGGTGTTCACAGCAGCAACATCTTTTTGGTACGAG